GGAGTCCATGAAGTACTGTCCAAAGAAGGAATGCTTGGACAACACACTGCAATTTCAACCATCTTTTAGAAGCTATGAATTCTGTGAAGGGCATAGCCAGCCCATGATGATGGCTGAGAGAAAGCTGGTGACTTTTGTGTCTAGTCACACATAAACTTCCCTCTTTCTGCTGCTCACCACCACCACCACTGACAAAGCTGATATTTGGGATTTTTTGTTTGTTTTTAATGAGAACATATCTTTGGGTTCTTAAATTTCTGGGCCAATAAGAATGTAGCATCTTGGAAATAAGGAGACCCATAAGATACCCAGGACTGGAAATCTTGACTATATTTCCAAACTACAGAATTAGAGGTGTAATACTGTCCAATCTGGAGGTCAAGATTCAAAAATCCCTCACCTGATGTTACTTTGCATAGATAAGAATGTACTTAGGCTTTACTGAAATGTAATAGCATGACAATCACCTTTTGCCAAATTTGCATGGTCTTGAAATATACATACAAAATTCTGCTACATAGTTTGAAAACAAAAATTTGTCACAGTGGAATGGCTATATTAGGGGCTAATTTGGCCATGACACAAGCTTCTCAAATGCTTTCCTATGCACTTTAAAAAATAAAAATAAAACCTAGGGTGCATGTAGAGGACTGCAGTCAAGAAAGAAACACAAAATAGTCACACCTCAAACATGCACCAACCATCTCAGTTTAGTGTGGGCTGGGAGCTGCTTTTATTTTACACCCTCCATTATACTGTCTCATCCAATTACATCATTGTACATAGCACCAAGATTATCAGGAAAGCATTTGACATGTTAAAGAACAATTGAGTGTACAAATTTCTGGCAGACCCAAGTATTAGCTCAACGAATTGGTGCTGCACTGCACAAGAGTTTGCCTAGCCTTTCCCAACAATCTCAGAAATGGGAGGTATTTAAGGTGTGCTATGGCCACTCTTAAAAGCTCTCCTACTTTTCCTTGTGTCTGAGCACTTCCCCTTTTCAAGCCCAAAGGGTTTTATTTCTACTTGTTCAGAAGAATATAATGGGAGAGCCTGTGACATTTTAAGAATTACCCTTTGTTCTGATTTTAATGTGAAATGGTTACTTTTTATTTTTTTAGCATCCTTACTAAATTAGAGAACAGTTTTAAAATATGTGTCCCATTTTAAAACATTTACTAGAGAGTATGTTACACAACCCAACAATGACTTCTCTGCATATATATATATATATATATATGTGTGTATATATATATATATATATATATATATATATATATATACACACACACATATCATTCTACATAGCTAGCCCTCATATTCTACTATTTTGGTCACTGTGCAGTCAAGAAAGCAGACTCTATAACTCTCTGTGAAGACACTACCCAGAATGCCTCAGTCCTCTACTGAAATACACAAGAAAAGGTGTTTTTTTTTGCATGAAGAGTTTTTGATATATCTAAAACTAATTTCCCATTTGTATCACTTTCCATGTTCATGTACAAGGACAATTGTGGAGACAAAGAAAAAGGAGAACAGATGTATAATATTTATAAGGTAGTATCCACTCCCTTGTCCAGATCATAAAAGTAACTGGGGAGAGGGGAGAAGGAGAGGGGAATAAAAGACAAAGTTGGGGAGATAGAGGAAAGGAGATGTGGTAGGAAGGGGACTGGTCTCAGAAACTACAAAGTGGTTTTCTTATTCTTACCCCCACCTTTAAGTAGTTATACAAAGAGATTTAATTCAGCATGTTAATTTATGAGTACACAATGACTACTTTTAAACTAAAAGCTAGGAAGAAATAATGTATACAGACTGAAATGAAACAGTTGTTTTTCAGCCTTAATTAAATGTCAATTTCATCCTATTTCTAATCTAAGCAAGGTATTTCTCAGGGTTGCATACACAAATACTCATTGCCTCGAGGAACTTAAAATACACGTTACTACATGTTTGTGAAAAACCAAAAACGTCAGAAAGGAAGGAAAGTAGGGGTGAGGGAGGGAGAAAGGAAGGAAGGATGGACAGAAAAAAGGAAGGAAGGAGGCAGGGAGGGAGAGAAAGAGGGAAAGAAAGAGGGAGGGAGGGAGGGAGGGAGGGAGGGAGGGAGGGAAAGAAAGAAAGAAAGAAAGACAGACAGAAAGGGAAGTAATGAAGAAAGAGAGAAAGAAAGAGGAGAGAGAGAGAATAAGATTCAAGCTCCATGAACAGACATCCGGTGCTATGGTCTGGCTCTTGGTACACGATTGCTCCAGGTCAACCGAGGTAACTGCATCCTGGAGGACCAGTTGGGCTGGCAGGGCACAGAGATACCCAGGGATCTTGAGCTAAATGAACATTATGGGATTACATTTGTTTTAGTTAATTCCTGAAGTCTAATTATCTTTAATCTGCTGAACTGAAACTGAGATTCAGGAAGGGAAGTTAAGTCATGTGAAGAAATTATCATCATGAAATTCATTTGACTTGATATTTTGGGCGATTATATTCCTTGCAACATACCTTCGATAAATTACAAGGCTACTACTACTTAACTCACACTTACTTTCAGCTTTACTTGTGAATTTTGATGAGACTTTCCCAGCATTGCAAAGCTCATGTGATCCAAAGGGATCAGGCCTTCTGCACATTGCATCTTTAGTTATTTCATTGCTGTCACTTTCATAATTATTTTTGTTTCATGGCTCTCAACGTCTCAGATAATTATTTGATCATTTCCCCTCTCTTCCTGGTCCCATGAAAGTTCAATTGGAGTGCACAGAGCCATCCCCTCCCCCTTTAAGGAATAACAAGAAGTTCCTGTCTTGTTTTAACAAGTGGATGATCCACCTTAACTTCAGAGTCAGAGCTTCTCACTATAAAAAGGAGTCCATTATGTTTAACTTTTTGCCCTGTGAGAAAAGCAGGATATGTCAAGCCTCTACTTAAGCCTCGCTTTTATCCTTATGAGTCCCTCTCATGAGCTAATTTTGTTCATAGACTACATAAGCCCCTTAAAGAGCAGAACTGTTCCCCGACAAGCAAGCCAGCATGCAGTTAATCATTAATTTTGCATGGTCCACATATGTTGTCGACGGGATTGTGTATTTTGTTTGAGAAACTTCCTCACACTTAACATCACTGCTGCTGGGGTTAGATCGTTATCTGACTATTATCAGCCAGCCAGCCAGTCTCAGCGCCTCCCTTTAACAAATCCAGCTTGCCGTGTTCACAAGGCTTAAACATGCGTGAATACAGTAGTATTTTTATGGTCAAACAACAGCTGCAGAAGCAGACTCAACAACACACCCTGGCTGAGTCTGTATAGATACTAAAACAGGTGTGCCTCATGACTATTGTGTTGAGTGCCTTTAAAAAAACCATTGTTCCATCGGATCAAGTTTTATATAGAAAGTGTGCTTTAGAGGCATGTGAAGGAATTTAGAAACACGGGTAATTGAAATACTAACACTCTCAAAACAGCAATAAAAGCAAATGTGTTTTTTTTCTTTTTTATGTGAGGGATTACTTTTACTACTGATTAAGTATTCTACTTTAGGAAAATCCAAGGAACCATCATCCTTCTGCATAATAAAAGTTCTTTTAAATGGCAAGAAAATTAAAGGATGCCATCATTCTCTTTCTTATACTTGCTTTGGGGTTCCAGCTTGGTCCTAGTTGGGGGAACCATTGCCATTTGGCTCCGTAGGGGTGGAGGTGAGGCAGATTTGAACGTAGTCCTGTTCAAATAATCCCTTCCAGCCCTCACTAAGGTGGTACATGAAGACTGGAAAGAGCAAAGCCTCCGAGCCTCCGGTGCACAGCTAACACCTTTCCCTGAGCTCGCTGCCAGCACAGCTCCCCCGAGAAGGCTTCATAAATGTCAAGGTTGTGTGCCTATTTCAACTTTAGAGTAACTCACACAAGTTTACTTGAAAATTAACACTGTAGTCATACAGAGTGGGAAAGGAACGTGTGTTGTTTCCAGACATAATTGAGATTGAACTCTAACCAATTCAGAAATAAGCATTACTTTCCGAGGCCCGGGAGAAGCCAGCTGCCCTCTGCCAGAAGGGAAGTATTGCAATCTTCCTGAGCACAAAGCACTCTGTATGCAGCCTGCAGAGAGAGAAGCTGCTCTGTCCTTTGGGTTGGCCATTCATCTTTGTGTGTCCTTCTGTCAGGGGTGGTGTATGGAGGAGTCCATTCCCCCTAAAACATGAGGAGTGTTGCTAAAAGGTACAGGGACCCCAACCACCACCCTCACCCCACCCCCACCCCACACCATCTGAGTCTGCAGCATGGCTGACACAGGGCCTTAAGATCATGCTCTACCTGCTACCTGATCGTTGATACTGTTGGCCTATCCCCAAGAGCTTTGAAACTTTGCCTGCTTTCTACAGAGCCTTACTTTTCCCTTTACAGTGAGTGCTCCCTTGAAGACATCAGAAAAAAGCCATTCCCAGGCCCAGAAGCACATCAGACACGAGAAAGCACTCCTTGGAGGCCGGCCACAATTTGAAGCAACAGCGAAGACTGGGAGACCAAGAATACACGAGTTATGTAAAGGTTGAATAAAAATAGTGATTTTGCTGCTACTTTTCCTTTTAAGTGGTTTCACATTTCATCTCCTGACAGTAAACTGAGATGCGAGACTGATGGTGGCTGACTCACACCAGCTTCTACACCGCCTGGGTTTCCATCTTCGCTGGAGAGCCAGGTAATGAGAGGGGGTTAAAATAATAAATGAATGGAGTGGCTGATAGAAATAATTTGGTGTGTGTGTGTGTGTGTGTGTGTGTGTGTGTGTGTGTGTGTACATGCATGTGTACGTGCTGGTACTGGGGCAAATGTTTCTTGCTCAAGGATTCTGTTCTAAGCACTTGAGTCACAACTCCACTTCTGACTTTTTGCTGGTTCATTGTAGATAAAAGTCCCATGGTGGTCGGACCAGCTGCTGAGAGGAAAGCTTCACTGGGGCAGTCTCCGCATATCATGGGGAGATAGATGCTGCTGCCTTTGATTGGCCTTGGTCCTCACAGCTCCAAAAAGAAACAGGATCTTGATAAGCTCTATGAGCTGAAGTCCAAAGCTCCGCAGATTATGAACCAGTTTGGCACCTCAGCCCTAATCAACCTCTCCAATTTCTCCTCCATAAAACCGGAACCAGCCAGCACCCCTCCACAAGGCTCCATGGCCAATAGCACAACGGTGGTAAAGATACCAGGCACGCCTGGGACTGGGGGGCGTCTTAGCCCTGAAAACAACCAGGTATTGACCAAGAAGAAATTACAGGACTTAGTAAGAGAAGTGGATCCTAATGAGCAATTGGATGAAGATGTGGAGGAGATGCTGCTGCAGATCGCTGATGATTTTATTGAGAGTGTGGTGACAGCAGCCTGTCAGCTCGCACGGCATCGCAAGTCAAGTACCCTGGAGGTGAAGGATGTCCAGCTGCATCTAGAACGCCAATGGAACATGTAGATCCCAGGATTTGGCTCTGAAGAAATCCGACCCTACAAAAAAGCTTGCACCACAGAAGCTCATAAACAGAGAATGGCATTGATCCGGAAAACAACCAAGAAATAACACACGGAAAAGTCAGGAAATGGACAACAATGTATTTGGAGATACTTGAGCTGAGACCTCAGCCATCTCATCCTTGGAATTTTTTTAAATGCTTTACAGAGAAGCATATATTTTTTATTAGCAGTGCAGCAATATCTATAATGACTGAGATGATCTGCCAAAAGAATAAAGCCTCCTCCCCTCAAAAAAAAAAAAAAAGTCCCATGGAGTTTTCTGCCTGGGTTTGCTTTGAACCAGAATCCTCAGATGGCAGCTACCAGAGTAGGGAGGATTATAGCATGAGCCACTGGTGGTACATGACTCTTTCCCTTATATTCTGCCTGTCCATTATCTCTGCAAAGAATTATGAGAGTTTATGTACACATATCAGTACATTTTTATTTGTGAAGGAACCTAATCAGAAATAAGATATCTATTAATGGATAAATAGGTAAGCAGACAATATATAATAAAAATATATTAGCATAATGATGCACTACTATCAATAAAAATGATGGTTATTTTGCCAAGAATGAATCATTATTAAAACTGTTGATATTGTTATATTTTACTCAAACATTCATACTATTCAATATTACCCAAAATAATGATTTTGCTGTTCACTTCTTCAGAGTTCAGTTTTATTTTAAAGGAAACATACACTAACACAATTTCTTTATATTTTTGATTGGGAAAACTTAACGAATTTTAGTTTTTACATAAGTTTAAAAAATAATCAGTAGCTTACCCCTGTAATCCTAGCTATCCAGGAAGCTAAGATCAGAGGTTTGAGGCCAGCATGGACTTTGATCTCCAATTAATCAGCAAAATGCAAGAAGTAGGTAGAGCTGTAGCTCCAGTGGAAGAGTGAAACCACAAATATTTTTAAAGAATGACTATAAGAACAAGCAATAAGTGCAAAGAGGTTTGAATGAAAAAATAAATTTGAGGAGGATGTAAACAAATGGCTAAATGAAATAAGAAAGACATTGCAGGATATGAATGAGGAATTCAATAAACAGAAATTCTGAAAAAATAAATTGAAATTTTGAAAATGTAAAACTCAGTAAATCAAACAAACTAAAATCTCAGTTGAGAGTCTCATCAAAAGACTGGATCAAATGGAAGACAGACTAGCAGGACTTGATGATAAGACAGATTAATATATTCAGACAGTAATGATGACTAAAATAAGGAAGCATAAACAACAGAACTTACTAAATCACTATGATATCATTAAAAAACAAAACTCACTAGTTATAGGCATACAAGAAGAAAGTGGAGGTTTTGATGATGATGAATGCTTTTATTAAGGAGGCCCTGGAGACATATCCTGTCCTTTGTACTGTTGGGACATATGGGTGGGTGGAGTAGGGGTACTAGGATCTGAGGATTTGAGGACCCTGGATCAAGTCAACCAAGTCAGAAAAAGTCTGAGAGATTCTTATCTCCAACAAAAAGTCAGAAGTGAGGTATGGCTCAACTGGTAGGACACCAGCCTTGAGGAAAAAAAGCTAGGCAAGAGTGTGTGAGGTCCTTGGGTTCAAGCCTCAGTACTGGTATTCACACATACACACACACACACACACAGAGAGAGAGAGAGAGAGAGAGAGAAAGAGATAATTATAAAATTAGATGAAAGTTTTTAAGGGATAACTTCAGTTTTTAAAACCAAATAACAAACATCAAATCATATTTTTCATCTTTCTAGAGTAAGCCTATATAGGAGATGTCTGAAACACAATTTTATAGAAATTCCATGTAATGACACTCATGATATCTATAAAGATTGTTAGTAGGATGATTAACTGACATTATTTCAATGAAACTTCAAGTGCTTATCAGATGTTCAAAAATGCTAGATTATGAACAATGTCTACTTAAATATTTTTCCATAAAAGAAAAAAAAACTTTTCAGAATGGTATAATGGAAAAAATTACAGATCTTCAAAAACAGAATTCAGTTTACATCTTCAGTCTGAAACCATATGAGTTTGTGATTTAGGACTGGTAACTTATACCTTCCCAATCTCATATTCCACACTTGAACATTGGAGGTGGTCCTGTACCTCAGATGACATTGTTAGAGGATGCTAAGGCATATGGGCTGGCTGCATCTCACTTACATGAGATGATTCCAGACCCATAAAATGTTGTAGGTAGAATTTCTTTCTTAATTCTACATATACTGTCTCTGGTGCACATTTGTTATATATAACAGATGGGTCTCAACTCCTTTATATAGCAGGGAAATACCCCCATTTGTTGCGTCTTTATAAGCACTCCATATATTGGATACTTATTTTCCCAGCCTCCAAGTGGCAACCCAGTGTCATATTTAGATTCTGGTCACAGAGCACAAAAGGAAAATCTTAGACAGCTTTCATTATCTCCCATGGGAAGTGACAATAGCAGCAACAACTTCAATTTCACATTCCTACATTCCTGAAGCTTTATGGTCATTTTGTTGTTGGTGGTGGTCGTGGGGCCTGAAATCTGGGCCTGGGCACTGCCCCTCAGCTCTTCAGCTCAAGGCTAGCGCTCTACCACTTGAGCCACAGCACCACTTCCAGCTTTTTCTGATTATGTGGTGCTGAGGAATTGAACCCAGGGCCTCATGCATGCAAGGCAAGCACTCTACCACTGAGCTACCTTCCCAGCCCCCGGCCATTTTTTTTTTAAGTGCCTGGGGAATAACAGTAAACAATAGTTTACCTACAAAGGGTTTGCAGTTTCATTTTGAATTTTTTTACCTAGAAATTTTGGCTTCCACATGACTCATTGTCCAGCTTTTTTATAGATTGTGTAACTACCTAGTTTGCTTTAGATACATATTATTTCTTGTAACTAAGATCCTGAGAGAGAGATTAAACAGTACCATTTCTTAATATGATTGATATATCTGCTACCAATCATTGCTTCTGGCTAACCCTAACAATGATTCTATATGGCAAGAGTTTTCAGGAATATTCACTGAATTGTGATTAGGATCAATATAAACTATATAGAGTTGAAGAAGTGTACAGAGACAAGACTTAGACAAGCTCATTAGTGAGTTACACACAAAAAAAGAGTAGAGCCCCATAAATTGTAGAAAACTACACCCTGCCATTCCATAAAGAAAAAACCCTAAAGTTTGTCCATTGTTGGGTTATATAAAAAACCTTGAATTCGGGGCTGGAAAGGTGGCTCAGTGGTAGAGCGCTTGCCTTGCATGCATGAGGCCTTGGGTTCAATTCCTCAGCACCACATAAGCAAAAAGAAAAAAGCCAGAAGTAGCGCTGTGGCTCAAGTGGTAGAGTGCTAGCCTTGAGCTGAAGAGCTGAGGGACAGCACCCAGGCCCAGAGTTCAGGCCCCACAACTGGACCAAACAAACAAACAAAAAAAAACCCCTTGAATTCATTATCAGTTCCTCAATTCATCTTACCCTCATTTCTGTACCCTCAGCCAATGTTGAGGGCTCCAATTTCAAAAGAAATCCTAAATCCTGCCATTTCTCAGCACACCCTCTAGTAGATACCTGATTTGAACTTTCATCAAGTCTTACCTGGGTACTTGTAAAAGCTTTCTAAGTACTGTAGTCTTCCTGGTTCTGTGACAGCCTTTTAAATCAATTTTCAAAAGAGTTGTGCAAAAAGCCCTACTCCCCACTCACCAGTCTGCACAAGTCACTAGTCTCCTTGTTCTTTGGCTAATTCCAGCACAAACATGGCTCAGGGCATTTCAAATAGAATTCTCTCCACCACCCTCTTAGATGTCAGCTTTTCAATTACCAACAGGATAAAAAATGGGAGCATCTCCATTACTCCTTATCACCTTTGTTTTCCTTCCTGCTAAGTATTTCACAAGCATACTATATATTTCACTCTCTGGTCTTATTCATTATCTACAAAGTTCAAAGTAGTCAGGGATTTTTGCTTCTTCTTTTTTTTTCTCACTGCTATAGTCACATCTAATAGGCACATGTTGATTCAATTAGTTAATGAGCTCAGTGAAAGTCTTGATTTCAACATAGTTCAATTTTTTTTGTTCTTGAGGATTGGATCAGGAAGAACAAGGGAAGATGGGGTGCTTCAAGATGTAACACCATCATGGTTTAAGGACACACACATAGTGATCAGAGATGGGTACAGGCCCTACTTCAACTTTCTGACAACGGGGCAGGGGAAAAGTTTATCCTACATCCGAAATTTTGCCCTTACAACATGTGTGTAATTGGTCTTTGAGTACTAATATGGTTGATACCAATTCTATAAAGATCTCAGCACAGAACATGACCTGTACCTAGTCTGAATGATTTGTAACCATCATCATTACTGTGAGAGAATGCATAGAGCAATCCTCCGGGCCTCTTTGTTTTTGTTTTTATATCTCAGGCAGCCCAAATGCGTGCATTAAAGGAGCCAGCCTTATTTTCATTTATACTTTAAAAAAATAAATAGAAGGGTATTAGAAATGTTCTCTGTCCGGATCATGGTGGTTGTCACCCTTTGGTCAAAATTCGTGGAACTGTAAATAAAATGGGTGAAAACTCACTATACTTAAGTAGTATTTGATTTCAAAATAATAAAAGGGAACATTATTATGCAGATGTGTGGAAGTAATTATCATAGTCAGAATTAATTACTTGCTTCCCCTACAGGGGACAAAATCTGCAAAGGAAAAATCTAATGACATCAGTGATAAGGAATTTTTCTTCTTAGTGCATATTCTTCAACTTCCAGGTAAAAACAGTTATTTTAAAACAGAAGTATGTGCTAGCATTGGAAAGCCATGAGCTGATTCTCATCTATCTCTTACATACTAACAGAAATGTGGAAATTATACACCTTTATCCAAATATCTGAAATGTTCCTCAAAGGCTCAAGTGTTGATGATAGGTACAGCAATGTTCAGAGGTGGGGCTTTGGACAAGTGACAGGATAACTTGATCTCATCAACAAATTAGTCCATTGCTGTCTTTGGAATCTGATGGGCTATTGGGAAGTCTTGGAAACTTTGGAATGTCGCCAAGTTAAAAGATATAGGTCCCTGGGGACATGCCCTTCAGGGCTATATCTTGTGCTCTCTTCCTTCTCCCCTTATCTCCCCTCTGCTC